GCTTATCTGCATGCTTACGCCCACACACACTATCTAACTTTTCCCCAACAGTCGAGGCAAAAGACAGCCTTGACGAAAAATATATGCTCACTATTATAAGTAGTTCAGGCTATGTAAACAGTCTCTCTCAGGGAACAAGTAGACAGACTTGGTCAAGGCTATGGGGAGTACAGGCTTTCAGTCATAATTGAGAAGGCAGCCTTTAATCACACTCACCATCTGTGTCTGGCGACTCAAGTTCTGTCGGATGGCACGGATGAAGCTTTCAGTGCGGTCATCACGTAACTCGCATCTAAAACACCAAACAAATAATGAAAGAGAGAGTAAAAGGAAAACAAATAAATTCTGCACTTCAAAGCCCTTCAAGATTGGCAAAACCACTTTAGCCAATCAAGTTTGCATCCACACTTCAAAATATTTTGAGGCAATCTTCTGTGGAGTACGGAAACACTTCAAATCCCTGCACAATGTTTTGGTGTCGTTAAGATTGTTGTGCCCATTCTTGAAAATCACGCATTCTCGAGAATGGGCATGCACATTCTTGAGAATGTGCAACTGGATCCTTGCTCAATCTTGGCAAAAAATAACTCTTCCAGATTGAGCGCACATTCTCGAGAATGCGTGACAAGATAACGGTCTTGTCGATGCCGAGCACGGCTGCGCTTGGCAAGTCTAGCTGAATCCTCGTTCACTGATTCTCAATAATTATACTGTTGCAACGCAAGGCGCTGAAAAGTAGAGTGGATATGATAAGTAAAGGCGTATTAATATGGGGGGGGGGGGGACCGGGAAAATATAAGAGACATAATAATACTAGTGCAGAGAATTCTGATTTTTGGAATAATAAAAGCGGGGGGGGGGAACGTAAAAATGAAGAATGTGAAGAATGAGAATGAATACTGCGACATCCCATAGTGCTAATGCTATTTCCCATTTAAATTGCCACCAATTTATTGTTCACATCCCACCATAACGTCGCAGAGCTGGATTCTATCTAGTCAAAAGAGCAATTTTGGCAGCTTCTGGACATCGTTTTTTTTCGTGGCACGCATATGATACATGCAGGGACTTGTAACTTGTCTAGCCTAAACAAAGCACTTCCCAGACTAGTTCCCAGTCCTCCGTTATTACAAAACTTCCCATAGTGGGCAGAAAAAAGCAATAATAACAGTTTAATTTGATTCAAATTATCGTAGTTGTACGAGTACAGAAGCATAGCACATTTTCTTTCCTCTTTGTATGAATTGTTTCCCTTTTAACCGCTATACAATTCATTTAACATAATTATGTCGTGCAATGTTTGTTAAGATTGGGCAAAATTCATAAATTGTGCACGTGATATTCCCACCCAATCTTAAGAATGAGCGCTCATTCTTAAGAACGCGTGCTCGTTCTTAAGAATGGGCGCTCATTCTTAAGAATGCGCGCCCATTCTCGAGAATGTGCATGCCCATTCTCGAGAATGCGTGATTTTCAAGAATGGGCACAACAAGATCATGGCAAGCAGGCAGATTCATTCATGCTTCACTGCTCTCCACAGTGCAGTTTTTTGCAACTTGAGACTCGGACTCGGACTCGACCAAATTGCTTTCAAACCTGGACTCAGACTCGACCCAATTGCTTCCAAACTTGGACTCAGACTCGTTCCAATTGCTTCCAAACTTGGACTCAGACTCAACCCATTTGCTTCCAAACCTGGACTCAGTCTTGACCCAACTGCTTCCAAACTTGGACTCAGACTCGACCCAACTGCTTCCAAACCTTGACTCAGACTCGACCCAGTTGCTTCCAGCTTGGACTCCAGACTCGACCCCATCACTTCAAAACTTGGACTCGGACTCGACCTAACTGCTTCCAAATTTGGACTCAGACTCGACCCAATTGCTTCCAAACTTGGACTCAGACTCGACCCTATTGCTTTCAAACTTGGACTCAGACTCGACCCAATTACTTCCACACATGGACTCAAACTCGACCCAATTGCTTCCAAACTTGGACTCAGACTCGACCCAATTGCTTTTAAACTTAGACTCAGACTCAACTCAATTGCCTCAACACCTGGAGTTGGGCTCGACTCAAATAACCCAACTAACTATCTTGTAAGCAGTCTTACATTAAGGGTGGTCTGGTTTCCATTCCCAAACGCGGTGCCACTGTGTTGAAGGCGTTCAGGAATTCCATGGCGTTCTTGCTATCACGCGCTGTGTAGATCAGCAGCCAGTTGTGCAGACCAATACAGCTCAGCAGATCCTTCCGCAGATCTCTGCTCCACTCTGCATTCTCCCCAAGGAAATCTCCTGTTGATGTTTAAAGGCATATAGGATTATTTTCTTATAGGATTATTTTCTTTTCATGCATTTTGTTCAAAATTCCAAAGAAGAATATCCAAAATTTAAGCTGTTGAAGTTTCAGCTGTGGATATTACACTTTACAAGAAAAGAGTGAAAAACCATGCACAACCTTTTGATAATGAAACACTATTTCGTCAATAGATCTCTTTATTTTCCAAAAAATCAGTCAATCGACTGATCCTTAGAAATCACCTACATTTCTTGATTTTTTCTAAATGACAGCAAGCCAGACAAAACAATTTTACAGATTGTTTAGTACCAGTACAATCTTTAATCCAAGTAAGCATTTCAATGATAATTCAGAAGGTTACTTTTGAGACAAATGCAAATAATCCTCTGTGCCTTTAAAGGGACACTAGGTCCTGGAACAGCCCAATTGGGCTACAAAACGTGCTTTGAACGAGATGATGTTAATCCGAAAGAACCTTAAAAAGTAGGATATATAAACATCCACACCACTATCCTTTCAAAACTGTTATTCCTGCGTGCAAGAACGAAATTCGGGGTCCACTTTTGCTACCCCATAAATTGAGCTATTTGGATGCTAGTTGTGATTTCATACGTAAAGTGTTTCCCTTTTGCGGACGTTAAAGAAACGTCATTTTTTTTTACTTTGGTGATTGGTCAATGCTGTTCCCGAGACACACAACGTGTATATCATATACTGAGAACGACACGAAAAACATATTCGTACTCCGTTGTGTGCGATGTAAACAACTGGGGATTTTTCCTCTTTTCTCGGCAACGGTAATAGTCAGGTGGCATATGGTCGGAATCGTGACTGACTGGTCCAAAGCACCAAACTTGGCAGATAGATTCTTGTAGCCCTAGAGAAGATATTTAGAAGGGGTGACACCTGAAATTCTTTTAGGAAGGGTGCTTAATTTGCATAAATCGTTAATCCCTGCCGTGTAATATATTTATTCCAATATTTGGGTATATTTTTATTTTTTTTTTTTTTAAAAAGTGTATTTTGGTGATTCTACTTGCATATTCTTACTTCAATAACATTTTGTAAAACATATAAGTGACTGAATAATTAGGAGGACATAGTAAAGAACCAAAATTGCTACTATTTTACCCTAAAGTTACGCGCATTTACCTTTTCCTCATATATCAACTAGTCTTGCCAAACATGGGTATTGATGAGCTTCAAATTAACAAAGTTACTTACTGGCATAGTTACCCTAACAAAAATAAGTGGGAAATCAAGTGAAAATTGATAACATCTTGATGTTTAGCCCAAAAGACCAAAAAAGGGGAGAAAATGTGGTGTCCGTAAATTGGGCTAGTACGGGAAGGGTAACGTGGGGACTTAAACAAGTTCAACAAAATCCCCCTAAATAAGAGATTATTGTTGTTTACAATAATTTTGTCTACGCCAAAACGTTTTCTCAACAATAATTAGGGGAATTTCCTTGAACTTGTTCCAGTGTTCCATGTTAGGCAACCCTTCACCTACTTGTTAGCCTAATTTATGGACACCTCGTTTTTTCCCAGTTTTTGTTTTCTGGGCTTAATATCACAATGTTATCATTGTTCACATGATTTTGCATAAGGTTTTAATAGGGTAGCTGTACCAGTAAGCTACTCGGTGAATTTGAAGTTCATCAATGCTAATGTTTGGCAAGACTAATTGATGATATCTGCGCGCAATTTTAGGGCATAATAGTAGCCATTTTTTTATCGTTACTATGTCCTCATAATTATTCAGTCACTTATATGCTTTGGAAAATGTTATTTAAGTAAAGATATGTAAGTAGAATCCCCAAAATACACTTTTCAAAAAATAAAAAAATAGAAATATACCCAAATATGGGAATAAATATATTACACGACAGGGATTAACGATTTATGCAAATTAGGCACCCTTCCCAAAAGAATTTCAGGTGTCACCCCTTTTAAATATCTTCTCTAGGTCTATAAGAATATATCTGCCAAGTTTGGTGCTTTGGACCAGTCGGTCACGATCTTGACGAAAATTAGATCTAAGCCACCTGACTATAAGACATTAGGTTGGTTTCCTTTCAACCAGATGTTTGAAATAGGCTAAGTAAGCAATCCAAAACATGAAATTTTGGGGGATTTCAGGTACTAGTTCCCCTTTTAAGAAGCGCTGACAACGATCATTTATAAGCAAACAAAACATAGTACTGATTTCACAAATCTCATTATTCCAATGCCTGTTCTTTTTCTTTTCAAACACTTTCAGGATTTTTGCCAACTACCCAGGAAAGTTTCTACCGAATTAATGTCAGTTCAACCTTGCTCAAAGTGAAGAAAGGACTGGTATCACATATCCTGAGAAATTATTCCACCTAAAGAGGAAAAGTAACATTCAAAGTGTTTTCAAAATATAGTTATGGACACACACATATTTACGAGTGTTAGCAACAGAATCTGGTTACAAGATACAATAACTTGCACATACATTTTCTGTTTTCTCAAAATGTACAGGGTGAATAAAAAAAAACCCAAACCCAAATGTCGGCACCATTGTTCTAGTGAAGTTCTCTATGTAGCACTTCCAAAATCTAGGATATGAAAAGGTTGTGTTTAAAATTCCGTAACTTCAAAAGTACATGAGTGATTTGAATGATTCTTGTACTCAAAGAAAGCTTATGAATTGGGCTTTCAAATGCTAGATGTTGGAAGTGCACATGCAGAACTTCCCAAAAACAGACGTCCCGACATTTGGGTTTCACTTTTTTTTACCCACCCTGTATTTTATCCACTGAGCTGAAACTTCAACAGGTTAGTTTTTAGGCACCCTTCTTTAATATGAACAATTTTGTTGCTCCAAGGAAAAAAAAAAGGAAATAGAAAGTATCCAACAAACCTTTCTAGCCAATTTCACGACAAACGTTTCGTGTCGTCAAATTCACTTCGCATTCACTAAAACTACATGTAACTTATAAACTGGTCTTCACCTCGACATCCCAATCTCTTTGTCAGACTCACATTCTTTCCCTGGTGACCGGTGAGGATTTTCTCCCGATCCATGATGCGAGCGTTGATCCTGACTGGCTGAGCTTCAAAGCTCACCTGCCACTTTTGCAGGTAAGTATTCGCCTCTTGATTCCTGAAAGAAGGTTAAGAACACAGGTCACAAATCATTATTTTCTAGGTCAGCCTGGGCCCGAATAAAATATTTTGTGATTGTGGCATTCATGTTTACCATTGGCAAGCTATGTTTTCAATTACCAGCAAAGGTCCAGTCTATGCACTGAGTATACAGTGTTTATACATCGGTGAAGGGCAAAACCTATTATTAAAAGTACACTATGTAAAGCATACACATTATTATGTTTCATGTCACCAGTATTGTGGTTGAGTCACTTCAGGGTCGAGTCCGAGTCGGAGACTTAAGTCAATGGACCGATCCAGTAAGCACCGCCCCATGGTATTCTGACCAATCACAGCCTTGATTTATGTCCGACGTGCATGCACAAAAGTCCGTCATGCGTGCACGCGCGTATGATGCGCGCGGAAGGAAAATGCAGCGTGGCATTGGAGAGGAGCACGTGTTAATTTGCCCATGTGCGCAGTGGGAGGGGCTTACTGGATCGGTTCATTGGGTCGTGGCTGAGTCCAAATCCAAGTCCAAGCGACGAGTCATTTGATTCTAGTTCGAGTCTGAGTAACATTTATATAAAATGGATGAAATATCTATGGATCTATGTAGCGGAAGAAAGCGATTGGGTCAAGTAGACATGATCACCATGGAGTCCAACCCTCGAGTTGGGGGGCGGACTATAAACAGATGGATGATGGATGGATGTGAATCAGGATGGACTCACTTAAAGTGATATGTAATATATGAGATGTCGCAGGATATAGGGAGGGGTGCATTTAATGACAAACTGTCATCATTGACAACACCACCTGGAGTGAGGTGTGGTGCATTTCATGTGCTTGACGTTCTTTAGTGATACTGAAATGTTACTTAGGGGGGGGGGGGAAGAAATATGCTTAAATGGTTTGTTTTTGGTGAAAATAAATATATGATTCACTGCTCAGGAGTCCCAAGTCATTAGTGTCAAATCGGAGTCATGATGGCCGAGTCTGAATCCAAGCCCAAGTCTTTGCCTATGTGACTCGAGTCGAGTCAGAGTCAACAAAATTGCGACTCGAGACAGACTTGAATCCGAGTCCTGGGCTCCAGTTCTACATCACTGGATGTCACTGAGTTTAAATCAATACACTCACACGCTGGGCAGGTTATTTTTGTGTAAAGTGCTGGCTCACTGTTAAAATGGTGCACAAAAGTTTGGCTGAATGTAGATTACCATCAATTGTTATTTAACAAAATGTTTCTGGATGTAAGGAAAAATAAACCTTACTGACCTGGGAAAGCTGCCGATGAAGTTGGTCAGCTCTTTCATGCGGACGTTGGGCGTGATGCGAGTGTACACAGACAGGTCCTTCATGACGTGGAAATCACTGCGCATAGCTTCGCTGAGCCCCGTCAGGGTACACAGCTCAGGGATCAGGTGGATGTGATCAATCATTCCCCGGCGCTGATCCTATTACAATAAAAAAACACAAATAAATCTGCATGTGATTATGGACTGGCTCCTGGTCCTTACTTTGTGGTTGACGGGCGAGTGTTGTGTGAAATTTGAACTCTATGAAATACAGATACATTAGCATGCCTAATAGTGAAGATAATTAGGTTAGTGACAGATTTAATGTTCTATTCAACGAGGCGAAGCCGAGTTGAATGAAACACTCCATCTTTCAACGAATGAAAATATTCTCACAATTGCACGAATGCAAGACATTCATTATTTGTTTTGCATAACAACCAATTAGATCTTTGTCATTCGATTGGAGGATAAGACTTGAAGAACAAACAAAACTCACAAAAGTGCACCATATCCACTACTTTTTCCAGCTTGGTCAAGGCTAACAGAGGTTGAAAAGTCAAATCATTGACCATAATGAAAATCAATATTGTAATTTCTTAATCCAATTTAAAAAAAAACCCATCTATGCAACTGCATCAACTTCAAAGGCAAGTTTTGTACTGCCTTTATGCATGATAATGGTTTAAATAGTGCGAAGATTGTATAGTGTCGGGCCGCTGCGCATCGTAGAGTGCGCGCGGCGTGCAATAGATCAAAAGAGATGGGACAAAAATGCAGGGTGAATGGAACCAAAAATGAACGGTTATGACATAGGCCGTGCAATGGTTTGTTTATTGAATGCCCCTTAACCTACAATCCTCCAATCAAATGACAAGGATGTACTTGGGTGTTATATAATGCCCTTTCAATAAGATCTGAAATAACTCACCCTTTTCTTTGGTTTGCTGACCAGCAGTGGCTGTCCTAGATCACTGATATTTAGCCCGTACGCGTCCCGGTAGTACTGGGCGTAGGTTATTTTAGTGCCGTCCAACTTGTCGAATGTGTTCATGGGATCGATATTAAAGTCGATGTCGTCCACTCGGTAGGTCTTGTTGTTGTACCTGAATGACAGCCATGCAGAATTTATTTGGTTACTTTTTTATCCAACCCCAACCTCTCTCAGTCCACTGATCTTATCAACCAGGCATGCAACTGGGAAGTCACAAAAAAGAGGAAATTGAAATCTTTCCAAGACTTTGTACAGTGTTTTTCTAGTGAAAAAAAGAGGAAATCAGCTGATCCGAAGAAAAGTTGCATCCTGATCAACTGATCTCAACCTAACTGATCCAAACAACTGATCCAAACCCAACTGATCCAAACCAACTGATCCAAACCCAACTGATCTCAACCCAACTGATCCAAACCCAACTGATCCAAACCCAACTGATCCAAACCAACTGATCCAAACCCAACTGATCCAACCCAACTGACCCAAACCCAACTGATCCAAACCCAACTGATCCAAACCCAACTGATCCAAACCCAACTGATCCAAACCCAACTGATCCAAACCCAACTTCTCTAACCCAACAAATCCAAAACCAACTTCTCTCACCCAACTGATCTCAACCCAACTGATCTCGAACCAACTGATCTCAACCCAACTGATCCAAACCAACTGATCCAAACCCAACTGATCCAAACCCAACTGATCCAAACCCAACTGATCCAAAACCAACTGATCCAAACCAACTGATCTCAACGCAACTGATCCAAACCAACGGATCCAAACCCAACTTCTCTCAACCAACTGATCCAAACCAACTGATCCAAACCCAACTGATCTCAACCCAACTGATCCAAACCAAACTGATCCAAACCAACTGATCCAAACCAACTGATCCAAACCAACTGATCCAACCAACTGACCAAAACCAACTGATCCAACCCAACTGATCCAAACCAACTGATCCAAACCCAACTGATCCAAACCCAACTGATCCAAACCCAATTGATCCAAACCAACTGATCCAAACCCAACTGATCAAAACCAACTGATCCAAACCCAACTGATCCAAACCAACTGATCCAACCCAACTGATCCTAACCCAACTGATCCAAACCCAACTGATCCAAACCCAACTGATCCAAACCCACTGATCCAAACCAACTGATCCAAACCAACTGATCCAACCGAACTGATCCAAACCCAACTGATCCAAACCCAACTGATCCAAACCCAACTGATCTCAACCCAACTGATCCAAACCCAACTGATCCAACCCAACTGATCCAACCCAACTGATCCAAACCCAACTGATCCAAACCCAACTGATCCAAACAACTGATCCAACCGAACTGATCCAAACCAACTGATCCAAACCAACTGATCCAAACCCAACTGATCTCAACCCAACTGATCCAAACCCAACTGATCCAAACCCAACTGATCCAACCCAACTGATCCAAACCCAACTGATCCAAACCAACTGATCCAAACCCAACTATCCAAACCAACTGATCCAAACCCAACTGATCCAAACCAACTGATCCAAACCAACTGATCCAAACCCAACTGATCCAACCCAACTGATCCAAACCAACTGATCCAAACCAACTGATCAAAACCAACTGATCCAAACCCAACTGATCCAAACCAACTGATCCAAACCCAACTGATCCAAACCCAACTGATCCAAACCAACTGATCCAAACCCAACTGATCCAAACCCACTGATCCAAACCAACTGATCCAAACCAACTGATCCAAACCGAACTGATCCAAACCAACTGATCCAAACCAACTGATCCAAACCCAACTGATCCAAACCCAACTGATCCAAACCAACTGATCCAAACCAACTGATCCAAACCAACTGATCCAAACCCAACTGATCTCAACCCAACTGATCCAAACCCAACTGATCCAAACCCAACTGATCCAACCCAACTGATCCAAACCCAACTGATCCAAAACCAACTGATCCAAACCAACTGATCCAAACCAACTGATCCAAACCAACTGATCCAAACCCAACTGATCCAAACCAACTGATCCAAACCCAACTGATCCAACCCAACTGATCCAAACCCAACTGATCCAAACCAACTGATCCAAACCCAACTGATCCAAACCCAACTGATCTCAACCCAACTGATCCAAACCAACTGATCCAAACCCAACTGATCCAAACCCAACTGATCAACCCAACTGAACCAAACCCAACTGATCCAAACCCAACTGATCCAAACCAACTGATCCAAACCCAACTGATCTCAACCCAACTGATCTCAACCCAACTGATCCAAACCAACTGATCCAAACCCAACTGATCCAAACCAACTGATCCAAACCCAACTGATCCAAACCCAACTGATCCAAACCCAACTGATCCAAACCAACTGATCCAAACCCAACTGATCAAACCAACTGATCCAAACCCAACTGATCCAAACCAACTGATCCAAACCCAACTGATCCAAACCAACTGATCCAAACCCAACTGATCCAAACCCAACTGATCCAAACCCACTGATCCAAACCAACTGATCCAAACCAACTGATCCAACCAACTGATCCAAACCAACTGATCCAAACCAACTGATCCAAACCCAACTGATCCAAACCCAACTGATCCAACCCAACTGATCCAAACCCAACTGATCCAAACCAACTGATCCAAACCCAACTGATCTCAACCCAACTGATCCAAACCCAACTGATCCCAACCCAACTGATCCAACCCAACTGATCCAAACCCAACTGATCCAAACCAACTGATCCAAACCCAACTGATCCAAACCAACTGATCCAAACCCAACTGATCCAAACCCAACTGATCCAAACCCACTGATCCAAACCCAACTGATCCAACCCAACTGATCCAAACCAACTGATCCAAACCCAACTGATCAAAACCAACTGATCCAAACCCAACTGATCCAAACCAACTGATCCAAACCCAACTGATCCAAACCCAACTGATCCAAACCAACTGATCCAAACCCAACTGATCCAAACCCACTGATCCAACCAACTGATCCAAACCAACTGATCCAAACCAACTGATCCAAACCAACTGATCCAAACCCAACTGATCCAAACCCAACTGATCCAAACCCAACTGATCCAAACCCAACTGATCCAAACCCAACTGATCCAAACCAACTGATCCAAACCAACTGATCTCAACCCAACTGATCCAAACCCAACTGATCCAAACCCAACTGATCCAAACCAACTGATCCAAACCAACTGATCCAAACCAACTGATCCAAACCCAACTGATCCAAACCAACTGATCCAAACCCAACTGATCCAAACCCAACTGATCCAAACCAACTGATCCAAACCCAACTGATCCAACCCAACTGATCCAAACCCAACTGATCCAAACCAACTGATCCAACCCAACTGATCCAAACCCAACTGATCCAACCCAACTGATCCAAACCAACTGATCCAAACCCAACTGATCCAAAACCCAACTGATCTCAAACCCAAATGATCCAAACCCAACTGATCCAAACCCAACTGATCCAAACCAACTAATCCAAACCCAACTGATCCAACCCAACTGATCTCAACCCAACTGATCCAAACCAACTGATCCAAACCAACTGATCCAAACCAACTGATCCTGATCCAAACCAACTGATCCAAACCAACTGATCCAAACCAACTGATCCAAACCCAACTGATCCAAACCCAACTGATCCAAACCCAACTGATCCAACCCAACTGATCCAACCCAACTGATCCAAACCCAACTGATCTCAACCCAACTGATCCAAACCCAACTGATCCAAACCAACTGATCCAAACCCAACTGATCCAACCCAACTGATCCAAACCAACTGATCCAAACCAACTGATCCAAACCAACTGATCCAAACCCAACTGATCCAAACCCAACTGATCCGAACCCAACTGATCCAAACTGATCCAAACCAACTGATCCAAACCAACTGATCCAAACCAACTGATCCAAACCCAACTGATCCAAACCAACTGATCCAAACCAACTGATCCAAACCCAACTGATCTCAACCCAACTGATCCAAACCAACTGATCCAAACCCAACTGATCCAAACCAACTGATCCAAACCCAACTGATCAAACCCAACTGATCCAAACCCAACTGATCCAAACCCAACTGATCCAAACCCAACTGATCCAAACCAACTGATCCAAACCAACTGATCCAAACCAACTGATCCAAACCCAACTGATCCAAACCCAACTGATCCAAACCCAACTGATCCAATCCAACTGATCCAAACCCAACTGATCTCAACCCAACTGATCCAAACCTAACTGATCCAAACCCAACTTCTCTCAACCCAACTTCTCTCAACCCAACTGATCTCAACCCAACTGATCCAAACCCAACTGATCCAAACCCAACTGATCCAAACCCAACTGATCTCAACGCAACTGATCCAAACCAACGGATCCAAACCCAACTGATCTCAACCAACTGATCTCAAAAACTGATCCAAACCCAACTGATCTCAACCCAACTGATCCAAACCCAACTGATCCAAACCAACTGATCCAAACCAACTGATCCAAACCAACTGATCCAAACCAACTGATCCAAACCAACTGATCCAACCCAACTGATCCAAACCCAACTGATCCAACCCAACTGATCCAAACCCAACTGATCCAAACCCAACTGATCCAAACCAACTGATCCAAACCCAACTGATCAAACCCAACTGATCCAAACCCAACTGATCCAAACCAACTGATCCAAACCAACTGATCCTAACCCAACTGATCCAAACCCAACTGATCCAAACCCAACTGATCCAAACCAACTGATCCAAACCACTGATCCAAACCAACTGATCCAAACCAACTGATCCAAACCCAACTGATCCAAACCCAACTGATCCAAACCCAACTGAACCAACCAACTGATCCAACCCAACTGATCCAAACCAACTGATCCAAACCCAACTGATCTCAAACCCAACTGATCTCAACCCAACTGATCCAAACCAACTGATCCAAACCCAACTGATCCAAACCAACTGATCCTGATCCAAACAACTGATCCAAACCCAACTGATCCAAAACCAACTGATCCAAACCAACTGATCCAAACCCAA